ACACTGCACCAGCCAACAGTTTGATGATAGACCCCATATTTGAGGAGGGGGCTCCTTTCAAAGAGGGGGTGTCAGGAGGTATAAAAATGTTTATAACTCAGAAACTGTTCAACATAGAAGCTTCAGATTGATTTTGTTGTTTAGCTCTGATAAGGGGCTGTCCATCAGGTCCACCCCCCCAAAAAAAAGGACTCCCACCCAAACCACTACAATATTGGGATGCATCTAGTAGCAAGACATTTATTAGGAATATACTGTAGACTTCTGAGTTCTGGTGCATTTGTGCGTGCGGGGGTCATTATGTTACTGCTATGTGGCGTCTAGTTTTAAAACAGATAGATTTACTGCTTCTTTTTGTTGGAAAATACTTAACACATAAAAATAATCACATATTAAATCACAATTGCAATTTATAGATAAAAGGACAAGTTTGGTTTGTTTCCTTGTCTGTTTGTGCAGCTGACTGTGCAGCAGCTGAAGACCAGTTTTACAGCTAAATCAACAGGGAGGAAAGAACAATATTAGGCTACCAACTGCCTGATTCTCCTCTAGCTCAATAGTAGCTTATGGACGCATGTCTGTTTCTGCCATCCAACATGGAAAAAAGGGGCGGTCTTCTGAGGCGCGTGACGTCACGTGCAAAGGGTCAATACTCTACAAAGAAGCTGCAGTGAGAACTGCTGCTAAGCCCCGCCCACTGGATCACATCACCTGTGCGAACTAACACAACAGAGAGCACGACTGGCAGAGTTCAGCTCTAGTTTCAGCTGATGAAAGGAGGTTTTTGTGTATTTTTGTTGTCAACTCAGAGAAGATAAATAATAAAAGATACTGTATCTACAAATTTGAATATATTAGTAAAACAGTAAAAATGTAATATATCTAATAATGCTAGTAAAGTTTAGCTTTCGTGCTTCTAATTTTAAACCCACATCCACACTGCACCTGAGTTCACATTCACGGTGCACTCGTGAGTCTGTGGGAGTGCTGCTCTCACCAGTGATGACCTGAAGCAGAGTCATGAAGGTCTCGGCGCAGTCTGGAGCCTTCAGCTCGTCCACGTCACTGATGTCTTTATACTGAGACGTCCACGCGCCTTCAGCTGACAGCATGGCGTCCATCTTCTCCACCGCCACTGAGAAGCACAGAAGGCGCATCCTAGCATCACATCACTGTGGGAGCTTCAGGAGTTTTCGTGATATATTTCGCTAACAGAGACACACACACTTTGACCTCCGACAGTAGGAGAGATAAAAAGGATGGAAACTCACTCTTCTTTTCCACAGAGAGCCACTTCTGAAGCACCGTGTCCTCCAGCAGGATGTGGAGCAGCCCAGGCAGCACAGCAGGGTACGAGTGTTTGCTCCTCAGCTCCTTCTCAAACTGCAGCACCTCCTCCACCAGGTGACAGAAGAGCGCATCGTCATAGAGCAGCCGAGAAGCATCGCCCGCTACTTTCTCCTGGACTAGAGACACCAGGCCCCGACACAGCTCCACCTAAACCCAGACACAAGAGTTCATCAGCAAACAACCAGAGGAGAAGTCACAGCTCCACAGTCATCTCTGTCAGGAGACAAAGTCAGTTAGTTATTTATTAACTTCACATTTTACAAAATGACTGGCTTCTCTCACCAAACTACCAATACTGCATTGTTTGAAAACTGTAGCATGAACGCTGAAAAACTGAGTAGTTAAAGTCAATGTAGCGAAAGGTTAGCGAAAAGTTAAACAAATCAAAACACTAGATAAGTTKAAAGTAGCAGAACTGGAATTAAAAACCAGAAAGAACAAAGGGATAGAATAAATGAAAGTGACATAAAGGTTAGCTTAATAATGTTAAGATTAATAAGATACTAGCTAAAAGTAACAAAAGGCTAGCTGAAAAGAACAAAATGGTAGCTAAATGGTAGCTTAAGGTGAAAGTAGCATTAGAAAAGCTATACTGTATTCAGTAAGTACATCAGATTATAGGAACATTGGGCCTCATGCAAGAACATGTTCGTATTCTTATCCTAAATTTCTCTTACTTTTGTTCGTACAAAGGGTTCATACGAACATGTCACGTCAGATTCAACAAACACTTCTATCTTCAGGAAAAGTGTGTAAATGAGCTGCGTAAATTACACCTGTTCGTATCCAGCTGCTCGTGCACGCGAGAGG